TTCTTATCAGATTCTTATAAGACTCTTATCAAACTCCATTCACTTTCCTGCGTAATCTTATATAAGAATTTGATAAGAATCAGGTAAGATTCTTATCAGAATTGCAGAAAATTTTTTGTCTAGGGCATGTGCAGATTAAGATAAAGTGTCAAGGTCTTTCGAGAAAGTTAAAAATAGCTAGTAAAAAAAGTAAAAATGCTGATCGGTATATAGAATATGAACTTGGAGAATTATTTAAGGAAAGGTTGCTGACCGGAAAAAAGACTTGGTCACACGGAAGAAAGAATCTGATGCAGTTTTTTATGCTCTTTTCGATGACATGATCAAAAATTCTGGCCGACACCATGATTTTTTCGCTTTCGAATTTTACTTAAAAAAATCAAATTTATATTCCGATCGAGATATAGAGCATGTGTCTCTACTATATGAGGTACTGTATGTTTCTCAGTGTAGGTTGAAAAAAATAGGAACAAGAAGGCATGGGAATATGAATCTAAGCATTGTACATACGTTTACACCAGTTAGTCAACGAAAGAGTTGCGAACGCAAGAATTTTCAAAACCGTCTTGATCGGGACCGAAAAACTTTAAGGAGTGGTCGAGTTGAGCCGGGGTTGGCCAGAAAGCTTTTCACTAGAATGGGACCGTGCCGAAGATTTTTGCCTCGTAGGAATTTGTGTTCTCCGGTATGGACTTAAGTCCAAGTCTGAAACTGGACTTGTCCATCTGTAGTAGAGCTAAAAATTCTATACAAAATGAGATAAATTTCATCGAGGAAAAACTTTCGCAAAGCCTTGGAGAATGGATCACCACAAATACTATTAGAATTAACAAAATTTATGAGCTTACTGGAGAGTTTATTCCTAATATGATACTGTCACCACCTTACACTAGTACAGTATTTCGCTGCTGCGCTCCCTATTTTCTTCTGGATAAGAGAAACAAAGCGGGATGCAGAATGTGATTCTGCAGAAAAGGCTTTTTCATTGCATCAGACAATCCCTTCATGCGCGTGGCGGTGTTTTGTGGATTCAGTTCAGTCTTTAGAAAAAAAGAACATTCATTCCGTTTGGAATGAATACACAGTGACCGTGAGACAAGCAAGATAAAGATGATAAGATAAAGATGAAGATAAAGATGACACACATTTTGTTCATCTTTTGTACTGTTTGTCTTTTATAGGCAAGATAATAATTCATTCCCACGCAAATACGCGAAACGTTTCTGTTTTTTCGTTCTATCATAAAAAATATGGACATATGCACCGCATTAAAATGTGCTGTACGCTGAGGCTCTATTGGGAATCCCAATAGGACAAAAAAGATCTATTCATTCCTTTTTTTTGCATAAAGGCATAGCCTTATTATTGATCTCTAGCTGCTAAATTGAAGAAATCGTTGAAAGGTCGTATGCTTTTTTCAGTTGAGAATAAACATAAAAAACGCAGAACGTCACTAGAAAACGTAAACGCAGCGGTGTTTCTGGCACAAAAAAAGGTGTTTTTAGCAAAGATTGTTAAAAGATCCCAAATATCCTGACTTTTGTTATAAAACGTGATATAATATAGAAATTAAAAGATCGTATCTATGAATCAATAATTACACATATACAATAACAAACGTTCAATATACGTATGAGGCAGGACATGCCCTGTGTCCTGCTCTGGGCGTCCTGCAGGGTAATCAGGGCATAACAAAAAGAAAAAATTTGCTCTTAAGGTCAGGGCAGGGTACGGCACTAGGAAAACAGGGCAGCCCTGCCCTATGACGGTCTCTGATAACCACTAAACTGAAACGTAGATCAACAGAAAAAGCACATAAAACAACTCAAATCCCTGCATTTAGCATAAAATTTTCCAAATGCCTCCTAGAAAATCTTTGGAGATCCTGAAAAGATGTCTGATGAATTCTCTATAGGTTTTAATGCAAATGGGGTCTAGAAAACTGGATTTGAATCAAACTTTTTAATAAAAAATTACATGCTCGTTCATGCGGAGAGCAAACAAAATCGACGTTTCTTACCAAAAATATAAAATGAAGAAAAAAGGATAAGTAACTTTTTTCGTTGTTTACTAACAAATACAAGGGTGGGTCTATTGCCACTTACAGAAGTGGTAACTAGAAGCTATTGCCACTTACCGACGTGGCACCAAGCAGCTATTGCCACTTCGAATAGAAAGTGTCAATAAGAAGCTATTGCCACGTCCAATAATAGAAAGTGTCAATAAGAAGCTATTGCCACTTCCAATAGAAAGTGTCGATAAGAAGCTATTGCCACTCCCGATAGAAAGTGTCAATAAGTAGCTATTGCCACTTCCAATAGAAAGTGTCGATAAGAAGCTATTGCCACTCCCGATAGAAAGTGTGAATAAGAAGCTATTGCCACTTCCAATAGAAAGTTTGTAATATATATTAGTTTCTTCTTATATCTGTAGCTTTTAGCTGACAATAACATCTATTGCTTTTCACGAACTTGACAAGTTCCTGGCGAAAACGTTTTTGTGGCTTTTCACTATCTGGATATACTGGGTACCTCATGGTTTATACATAGTTTTATTCACGTTGTTTTTTCTTTTTGTTTTGAAGTCGTGAGATAGTTTATAGTCTATAGTCTACTTCTTTTTTTCCTTTTGTGTATTTATTATCGTCGATCATTCGTTATCTCTATTTATCTTTTATCTTATTCTAGGCCGCTTTTTTCTTTGTTTGATTCATACCGGTCGCCTCTTTCTATGAAGTGTTTTTGATATAATAAATATAGGAGCGTACACTCATTTGTCTATTCAGAGGAGAAGTGAATAGTAGTAAGAAGGTAGTCATGATTTTTATTGTGTGTTAGACTGTATTCTTCATCGTTTTATACTCTTCTTTTCCTTGTGTTTTTTATTATTTTCTAAAGTATATTCACTATCAAGTGGCATCATTCTAACAAGACAAGTGAGTACATTGCGCCTTGTCGTCTTTCTTTTGGAGCAGGAAGATTTTAATATTAGAAGTCAGTGGTCCGAGAACGAAAGGTCGGCATAGTACTTTTGCTTTAACATGTACTGTCCGACACAAAAGAAGACAAATACACAGGACAGACAACCACGTAAGACATAACATACGTAACCATGAACGTCCGTTTGACTGTGTAGAAAACTGTCTAAAAAAGAAAATGACTTTATTAATAATAAACGATAAATTTCAGAAATTTAATTTCGATGTATAACATAAATGATTTTCCAAAGAAAAAGTAATTTTTCCTAAGTCGCATAGCTACCTGGTTCAATATCTAAAACAACATCGAAGTGATTTTTGTTATTGTTTCGTCGCAGGTATATAGCCATAGATCCTGATACTTGAGAATAAACTGGTTTGAATTTTATCCATAGGTTTCGTTCTGACTGGTAAATATAAATTTCACATTTAAGTAAATCACATGCTGCGAAAATTTCTTTTTCGCATGAAAATACACCCAGACGGTTGACCTTTGATTTTTTAATGTACTCATCTGCTGTTAAATGGTTGTATTCATCTTTTCCATAATTAGTATAATTTTGAAGACGGATCTGACTGATAACTAAATTGCGAAATTCTGCATGATATTCTTCACTCCCGGTCAGTGTATAACTCAGACCCCTAAAACACACAGAAGAAGAGAACTATTTTATACATAAACTTACAAGAGAGGTTTCGTCAGCGAACTGCAAACAGTCAGAACGTGGTGAAAAAAACTTTTTCATTTGATTATTAGAAAAAAGCATGAAAACGTTCAGACATTTTTAGAACCATGGTAGACCTGATCCGAAGACCTGATGTTTCCACAGTTACACTTGCCATCATCTCCTCAATCGGATCCTGAAAACTACATGGTTCTAGTTCGTACCGTTAAAAGGCTACTCAAAAAATATCGATAATCATTCTGTTTATTGACGGATAGTAGAAACTTTTTGTTTTCTACTAAGCTCACCTAAAGAAACAATTACCATCCGGTTGAATGCTTTTTATCGAAAATGGTTTCGTGTTGACAGAGATTGCTTGTGTTTTACCGAATGTTGCATAATTTAATATATTTTTTCTATTTCGTGTTCGAAATAATTTTAAATCGGCTAGTCGATCAGCCATCCACTGGTCGTTTGGTGGAGAATACATCATTTCATTTCCACTTTTTTCAATTAAAATTACAGAATTTGTTTGATGTTCTTCCGTTAGATCGATTTTCTCGACATTGCCAAGTTGCACTGATGGCTGATTTGTCGGGCTCATGTTTAACTGATTATCATTATTCTTCATAATGTTGTTATTTGCTGTTATTATTAATTCTGGCTCAGTTGTTTCATCCTGGTCTGATTTTAGTTTCTTTCTTTGTAATGAAATAATATCATTAAATGTTGCAGAAACTGGCGACTGGTGCGACGGTGTTGTTAATGTGAAAACAGTTGCCGCTGCTGCTTCAGCGGTTGTTGTTAGATGAAGTTGTTGCAAAAGTTCAAGTGATGCTTTTGCTGTAGTCGGCGTTGTTGTTTTCGTTTTACGATCATTAACGTTTTTT